TGATTGTTAAGTTTAGAAACACCAATCTCAGCCTCTACGATATGATATAACAATTACTATCACTAGTTTCAACCCTAGAGATATGAAACATAAAATGATTTCAAAGCACAAACTACATTGTCAAGCTTTAAGTGTAATTAAGACAAGATTTAATAATGTAAACAAGTAATATTATAGTGTCGGTTACCATGTTAAGCCCATATAACTTATTCTAGCTTCATTCTTCATCGGTCACCTTTTGACCTGGTTAATTATTTGCTTATCAACCCCAACTGTTTTTATATAAGCGTATATGTGTGTACACTTCTCATCCTATTCATCATATGTCTGTGGCTTATGAATACTGATTAACGCTTGATTAAATAGTTTGCTCACATGCCTTCTCTACTGCACGTCATTTTGCTTCTGTGAGAACGGTCCACGGGTGAACTCGAGGAAGCTCTAAGAAGCTCGAAAAGATTCGAAGAGCTGAGCGTCATTTCATTTCGCTCTCTTCTATTCGCTTCATCCTTCTCATTTCCTGTCTAGATCAGTATGTATACAAATTGTACGTATTCAAAAATACATTCTCGTATTTGACTTATTTAATTCCATTATACATTAGAGCGGATTAAATTGATAATTATATACGAAAATAGTCAGGATGCATATTTCGACAACAATCATTCATACAATCTAATTGCAGTCAGATCCCGAACCACTAAAATGATGACCCCGTCAATAACATCGTTCAACCTTATAGAAGTCACAATGAATGGGCTCCACTAAAATATTATCAAAACACTAAAATGTCGCCTTAACTCCTATTCATTTTCTTATATAAGTTGAAACATATGGTAAACTAAAACATTATTGAACAAATGGCTTATACAATCAGTAAGATAGAACAGTAGAAAAACAAGTTAACAAACAAAAGCAAAACAAGAAACACACCGATAGAAAAGATCCAACCAAATAAAGAAATAAGAAAGAATTGATAAGTAGCTTCTTGTATAGACAAATCAATAATGGAATATGGTAATCCCCTTTAAATACATAAATAGATGGAAAGTTCATGGTATAGTGAGACATCACCTTACCATCTAATGAAATGATTCAAATAGCCTTTGATTGAAACAAATGATGTATGACTCCACAAAGGCCATTATCAAGAGGAGAACAAGGTTCATACTTCATCGAAGATTTACTGTACATGAAAGTGATTGCGTCAGATCCCACAGTGTTTACCAATTTAAATGTGTAAGTGGGGTAACATATACATAGAAAGAAGTAATCACGATCTTCAAATTAGCATGTGTGAACATATACAAAAATGGTTGTAGAAACAAATAATCCAATAACAGTAGAGGATAAACATCCATCATCTTTCATTGGTAAACACATAATTGAAACAGGTCATAAGATTGATCTTAACTCGGCTTTGTAATGTTATACAAAAGTGTAAAAAGGCGTCTACTTAGTTTCATAGTTGAGTTCATAAGCTGAGTTCAAGCTAGACCACCATAAAAAACCTGGAAGCACTGGATGGCCGTTTCGTCCTAGTATGGGACTCCTCAGCCGTGCTCAAACCCAGAACCTATACTAAGGTTTATTGAAGCCTTAGCCATACAAAAATTCAAACCCCTTTGTATGTATTTAAAAACAGTTTGTTCTCGCCTTAATCTTACCCTGGTAATATTAACTTATTATCCAAAGTGATGAGGTATCAAATTGTTTTCACATTACTGTTTTCATTACTTTTGTTTCCTCTTACCTTCAACTAGACTAGTTGACCTTCTATTTTTATATATAAATGTTCTGAACAAGTGTATGTGTGATCAGATTGTTTGAAATGTATTTTGCTAATACATCATCACATACTTCCTATTACAGTATCGAAATTAATCAAAAGGGCTAATTGCCTTAAAGCAATAACAATCATTTTAAAGTGAAACTTAAAAAATAGCTTGGAACATACCTAGACTACTTATAATTTACAAATAGTATGATGTAAAATTAAAAAAGGCAATCACAAGTGAGGTGAAAAAAAGACCAACTTATATATGTATGCAATAAATTCTGTAGCTCAGTGGTCTGAAGGTTAGGCACTCGAGCGTGAGGCCAAAGATCCTGCGTTCGGATCCTGCGAACGGCATCGTGGATGCGCACTGTTGAGGAGTCCCATACTAGAACGAAATGGACATCTAGTTTTAATACTATGTAAAATGTATTCTGCTTTAAACGTTAAACATTCCATTTGAAAGACGAAGACAAAGATAAGATACAGTTCAAAAATACTTATCTATTTATTGCTGGAAATTAGGTTGTCAATTCACTTAATCATAATCTACATGGATTCACTTCAAATATTTGACAATGAAAGAAGTGAATATGTCAGTTTTTATTACATTTAATGGTTTTAAATTACAAAACACATTTACCAGTTAGTTCTCTATGAACATGGCAGAACTTGTCACAAATGTTTAATACTTATATTTTATTACATTTAAGCCAATAAATGATAGTCTATAAAATGAAACTAAAGGATGTCTTTATAGGCAAAGATGGATAGTGGTTAGCAGTGGAATCCAGGACCCATCTTTCGTCCTATTCAGAACTCGTCAGTTGGATATACCTGGATCTGAGAGTTGATAATCACTCCAAACCTCGAACTCACTACCGCTCGCTCTAAACACCATCTTGTCATCCACTTAGCTACTGAATACTGATAGTCAACTGCTTGTGCAATCGAGTGATGTTTAAATCCACTTCGTATTATTTGCTTGTACACTCCCATTGTTGTTAAGGTCTGCAATCGATCAGTATATTGTTGGTATATGTAAATTCTTTGCGAACTGGTTCGATATTGCATTCATTATCAACAATGGGAAGATATAAAGAAATTGTAACACAGGAATTTAAATGGTGTATTCCAAAAGTAGAAATGTTACTAGTTTCAAACTATTCTACCCCCCCTCCACCCGCACGTATATTAAAAAACGAAATGTATATTTTAAACAGTTTTAACTTCCTACCTGGCAACCTTTAGAAAGTTTCGTTTAGGGATGAAATTATCTCTATATTGCGTTCACAATTTATATATAACTATTACCTCTAATAGTTTTGAATCTTTTCAAAGTTTTCTCTAAAGAAATTCTCTACTGGATGAAATACCTACTGAATAATAAAAAAAGATCTATGCAGTCCTATATGTGTATATACGATGGTAGTGAACATTTTTCTGAATGATTGCGTTGTACAATGAAATACCATTGTTACTGTGATTGATTGATCACTGGGTGATGATCAATGTCATGTGTGTCAGAACGTTCTTAATGCAGATCAAATTCTATTGACCAAGTTGTAATATAGCCATTAGTCTAGGTGAATCGACATTACACGCACGATGTTAAGATAAGATGGTGGTTGGATGTAGTCAGCAGAAAACACTCCTCCATCTTACCATTGTTATTGTAATAAGATGAAAGAAACTTTGCAATCTACTTACATGTAACACTAGAGACTATTTTATAGAAATAATTCTATATTCAGTTCACTTGGTATTGTTTGCTTGTATGTTACCAATGTTGTTTAGGATTGCAATTGATCAATCTCTTATTGGCATATGTGCATACTGTTCGGACAGCCTCGATATTGCCTTAAGTCATAAGCTTTATAAGCAAAGATGAGTGGTGGCTATGAATGGATTGAACATCAACTCTGGGATGCCGGTACATCCAGCAGTTCGATCTCAAATAAAACGAAACACTTATTCTAGATTCCATGGCTAGCCACTAATGATCTTTGCTTATAATTCTATATTTATATGTTATACTTTAAAAAAAAACGGTAAACTTGATCATTTTCTTGTATCATTACTTTGAACTGATAACATTTAAAGCTGATGGGCATTTATTAAAAAGAAGATTCCAAATGTTAAATGGTAAGCTCATTTGTTAATCATGGAATCAAGAATCAATCGGTTGTATTTTAATTTATTACTGACGTATTACTATTATAATATTGAGGATATTTATTGAAAGTAAGCGGATAAATTATATCCAGCTGATGAACCCTAAATAGGACGAAACTCGTGTCCTGAATTCTACTATTAGCCACTATCTATCTATCGGTAAATATTAGTTCCTTGAATAAATGTGAAGAAGGAATAATCAATGAATGTAGGTAATTAATTACGTTTAATTACCTGTAATTATTGTAATAATAACATCTTAATCATCTAACTACATTCACATTATAATTTGTTATTAACTTATTAGATCTATTGTCATTAATCATAATACGCAATCTAGTATTATAATCTTTTTATTCCATCATCTTGGTTACTCGTTTTTCGCATTTCTCACGAACGGGATCGTGGATGCGTACTACCACTGAGGAGTCATGTAGTGGTACGAAACGGCTATCCAATGTTTCCAGGTTTTCTATGATGGTCTAGTTCTAATTGATTCATGAATTCAACTAAACGAATCACTCAACTGACTTAATACAATAATTTTATGTCTTTGCTTTTTTTACATCATCTATGTCGATTGATGATAAGTTTATGGTAGTTCAAAAGAAAAATCAATGCGATATATTATAATGATGTAACATGTCTACATGATTTCTGATCTGCATATATGGATTATCTAGGAAATAAGTTAGTCAGAGAGGGGTTTATGGATATTATAGTAATTTAATAGTTAAATTCATGAGTCAATTGAAGCTAGACAACCATGGAAAACCTGGAAGCACTTGACTGTTGTTTTGTTCTATTATTAAACTCCTCCGTAACAGTATGCATCCACGATCCCTCCTCGCGAGATTCGAACTCAGAACATATCGATCTCACACGCGAACGTTTAACGTCTAGACCACTGAGCCGGTATCCAACAGTGTTAACATCTAACTTTAACTAATTCACTAAACTAAGTGACATATCCATCATTATCTTCGGTGGTTTATGTATATATATATATATCATTATTGTTCTATAAATTAATATAAATTCAACTTACCAATTGACTAATTTGTATTAATGTAAATTGAAATCCAACTTGTACACTTTTAGATGCATTAAATATTGGTCTAGATGCTGTATCATAACCATTTAATATTTTTGATAATAATCTTTGTTCATCTGTCATTATAGTTGGAATTAATGTAGTTGATATATCTGTTTCATATAGATTATTTTCTATATTAGTATTATTCCTATAATTTTTAGCTTCTTCATTTTCATTTCCATTGAATGATGTCCTATGTACATTCATATTAATTCCTTCATCATATACTATAGTGTTAATAGGTATTAAATAATTGATAAGTATATTAAATAAGTAATATATCCATTTCATTATTTATGATTAAGTTGATCTTGATCTGGAAAAATTTTTTCTTCTTCTTTGTAATTGATCAGAATTTATTAAAAAAATAGTTGCTATGGCTACATCTACATATATGTATACGTATGTATTAAAAGACCAGTTTAATGAAATATGGTAAAAGTCGAAAGTGATTTTATGAAAAAAGGAATTATCTGATTGGTCGATAGTATTTAACCAATAGGATTTCAGATATTATTATTATTATTATCATTATTATTATTAATATTACTATTATTATTATTGACTTTAACATAAACGTTTTAATGGTTCTGTCAATTTTGAAACGGAAGAAGTTCACGAAGGAAACTATGATCAATGGATTGTTTTTCTCTGTTCATTGTAATCGTATAGTGTGTTGTCATAATGGTCAGTCAGTCAGTCAGTCAGTCAGTAACAACGTAGAACTTCGTACGTACGTACATCAGTTCGAGTTGCCACACCACCTTAGCGCAGAGATGCAGTTGTCGATTCAAATCCCGTAGTGGTAGAGGTAGCAAGACTATAAGCACTAATCGGGAAGGTTAGGGTTTGGAGATGTTATTTAAAGAGTATAATACGGTGAAATAAATTTGGAAAGAGGAAAAAATAGTACTTAAAATTGATTTACGACATAAAAATGTATCGTCGAAAAATTGAAATTTTCCTTTTTTTTATAGAACTGATTCATAAACAAAACTGTTAGGTTTTTTATCAGATTACTAGTCATATGTTGTGTTACAAGATTCAGTAGATGCCCAATTTTGAGATCAACAAGTTGGATTTTGTAAGGATTGTTGTGCACAAACCGAATTGCGACATTACGGATCATCGTTAAACAATCAATGGATTGGAACTCGTCAATATATTCATGAACTTCCTTGATTATGAGAAAATGTTTAACTGTGTGGATAAGAGAACATTATGGAGCCTTCATCGACACTATGTTATACGTGAAAAGATAGTCAATATCATCCGAAATTCATACGATTGACTATAATGCAAAGTGATTCAAGAAGGACAGATGACAGATGCATTCCAAGTAAGGACCAGAGTCTGACAAGGTTGCTTACTTTATCCATTTCTCCTTCTCCTGGTGGTCGATTGGATTGTGAAGACCTCTACATCTGAAACGAAACACAGAATAGTATAAACAGCTCGGAATGAATTAGAACAGTTAGGCTTCACAGATGACCTACCACATCTATCACATACACACAAACAAATACAGGTAACAAAATAAGTGCAGCAACAGTCCCTTCATTAGTAGGCCCCAATATACACCAAGGAAAAACCAAGATCTTTAAATACAACCCGGAGAATACCAACACAATCACATTTGATGGAAAAACTCTGAAACAGGTATAAAGTTTCACTTATTTTGGGTAGCATCATCGATCAACAAGTATAGTCTGATTTAGACGTAAAGGTAACGATCGGCAAATTCAGAGCCGCTTTCCTACAAATGAAGAACATATGGAACTCAAAACAACTATCAACCAATAACAAAGTCAGAATCTTCTATACGAACGTCAAAACAGCCTTACTATATGGAGCTGAAAGTTAGAGAACTATTACAATCATCACCAAAGAAGTACAAGAATTCATAAACAGTTGTCTATACAAAATCCTCAATTTCCGTTGACCGGATACCATCTGCAACAGTCTACTATGGGAGAGAACAAACCAGCTTCCAGATGAAGAGGAAATTAGTAAAACACGTTAGAAGTCGATATGACATATACTGAGTAAATCATCAAACTGCATTACGAGGCAAGCACTAACTTGGAATCGCGAAAGGAAACGGAAAAGAAGAAGACTAAAAAAACTGTGCTGAGAATCGGAGGCAGGTATGAAAATGATGAATAGCAACTGAAAAAAAAAGAAATGATTGCCCAGTATAGAATTTGATGGAGAATGCTGGTGGGTAGCCTATGATAATCTATTTAAATAAAATTCACAGATTTACAGAAATCACAACTCAAATTGGTAGCCTTTTTGAATATCTAGGATACCTGATTCTACCATGTTATAACTTGTACCCTGTATCCTATTAATGTATAACGTAATGATATCACCATTTGGAGAACAGTGATTTAGCAACTGAACCAGTGATGCATAAAACCCATACGAGCAATCTAAAAACTTTATCGATCCTATTAACTTCAGAACACCGATCTCAGCCTCTGCGATATGAATCATTTATTTCAAGCATTATGCGTTTATATACAAACCAAACAGATCAAATCATATCATAAAATAGGAAAGAACATTTGCACAAGATCTAGCCAAATGAGTCTGTGAATGTGGGAGACTGTAATTAATAAACTGGTAAATCGTATAATAATGGTTCATAGGTCAAAAATAAACTCATAATAAGAGGAACACGAATACGAATAGTTTAGTTACTTAGCGATTATACAATAAAAGTATATGTCAGTATAGAAGTTGTGGAGATTGTTAAGTTTTGATTGAGATCATGAACCGATTGATGTTAGACCACCACTTAAAACCTGGAAGCACTGGACGGCCGTTTCGTCCTATCTTGGGACTCCTCACCAGTGCGCATCCACGATCCTGCTCGCGGGATTCGAACCCAGGGCCTTCAGTCTCGAGCAGCTCAGTGGTCGAGTAGGTTAAGCGTTCGCTCATCATTATGCCTATTAGTTGCATTATCTATTCAAGTGTGTTTTAATGAAACATTTGTGACATTGCGCTGTACAAGTTACAAAAGAGCTCAACCAGAGACCTCGTAGTTTTTGGAACAGTATGCATCGAAAACAATATACATTAATCAAATGTTGATTCCTGAACTGCTCACATCTAACTGACGACCGCTCAATATTTTATCGTCAGGATCAATCAATCAATAAGTAACGGAATCGTGTTGAGATACTTTAAGTGGAGAATTCAATATTGTACCAAAAGGTTATAATATTGACTAAAGCTAGATCCCTGTACACATTATGTTATCATTATTCCCTTTCAACTAGTTGAATACCTTATCTATCATTGATAAATGATTTGTTACTATTATTATTATTATTATTAGATTAGAATTTGATTACTTATATTAGTAGTATGTGTTTTTAAAGTTTGTTTATGATTTGAATATATAGAACATTTAAACTGATTTGTTAACATATGTCACTGAAAACAGTTTGGATCTGGACCAGATGCTTCTTTATTTTTATTCAGTAATCAACTTTGTAATTTACTATGTCATTTGTCATCTTCTGAAATAAATATCTAATTCAAAATGCGTTTCTTGGAGTTCTAGTGAGTAGATGTGACCAGTAGAGTTCAACGTGGTTTGTTGTAATGGAATGATTTATTGAAGACAATGGTGGATAGTCGTATTATATCGTAGATTATTTGAAGTTAGACATTAATATGATTGGATGGCAGTTCAGTGGTCTAGAGGTTAAGTTTTCATGCACGAGACTAAAGGTTCTGTGTTCGAATCTGATGTGCAAAATCGCGGATGCGCACTGTTTAGGAAATCCATACTAGAAAAAAAAAAGATCATTCAGTGATTCTAGATTTGTTAGGGTGATCTAGCTTTAATCAACTCATGAATTCAACCATTAAATTACTGCAATTTCCACAAACCAACATTCTCACTGTATATGTTAAGTAGTATATACTTGTCAATGTGAAAAATAGTTTATGAAGAAAGTATAACATTTGGTTATTATTAAATGTTAATACAATTGGAAGCCGGCTCAATGGTCTAGAGATTAAATGTTCATGCACAAGACCAAAACTTTTAGGTTCGATCTCAGTGTATGGGATCGTGGAGTTACGATGCTGAGAAGTCCTATACTAGGACAAAACGGCCGTTCAATGTTTCCAGGTTTTCAATAGTGATCTAGGATAAATCGACTCATAATTTCAATTATTGAAATTTATATCTTAAAATAAAGTGAAACATAACTATAGAGACCAGGGTTGAATTTGATAGTTTCAAAGAAATTAAGTATTGGATTATATTCCAATGAGTAAAAAACTTGTATTACAGAAGTTTCGTCCTTTAATATAAGCTACTTCTTCAGGATAATCAAATAACAAATATATACATATATATATATTTATTATCAATTGTAGAAATATTGTATTTGCTAAGATGATTTACATTGTTGTACTGAGTGTTGTTTCACTAGGTTACAGTAACTTAAGTAATACAAATTTGATTTGGAAGATGAAAAACGAAATTTAACAAATAGAAGTTAGGAGAATTGTTCGATAGAATAAGATTGATGTACTCTTCTGTTGTATGCTACTGATATCGATGCATATAAGTAGTATGCATCATTAATAGAAAGTCAAATGTCTGGTGGTAGAAGGTTAAGAAGTTTGAAGAAAAGAGAACAAGAACAGAGAATGATTGGTAAGAAAATGAAGGAACAGTGAAGTATGAGATGATTGATTGACATTTTGTTAATGAAGTATTTACTATATGAGTCTCAGATTTTATTAAGATGTTCTATAATTTTGTATTCAAATACATTCGATTGTCCCCATTTGTGTTCTCCTTCACTAAATTTTGAATCTTATTTTGTGACTATAAATATAAGGGGCGTTAGAATGAACAACGTTTTGTATGTAACTTGCCAGTAGAAATCAAAATACAGAAATGGCATTTAAAACAAGCAATACTGAATTCGAGTCACAGAGTGAACATTAACTCTGAAATGTACGTACATCCAGCTATAGAGTCACAAGTAGGACGAAACGCGCATCCTGGATTTGACTGCAAACCACTATCCATCTTTGCTTAGAATGGCTTTAGGTAATATCATGGCAGACCGCACAGTATGCACATATGCCAATAAGAAACTTATCAATTTTAATCCTAATTGTCAATAGAAAGATTCAAGTTAAACAATCCTAAGTGAAATTAAACTTCACCCCACTGTACAAACAAGTGGCTATCTAGACTCGATAGCCAAGTGGATAATGCGACTGTGTTTGAAGTAAACGGTAATGAGTTC